CTAATAGCATTCCTAGGAGTTTGGTAAGACCCTGCCCCTAAACTCGCCACTCCAAATCACAGAATAGCTGTTACCCCTATCCAGGAAAAACACAAGTGTCCAAGGATTGAGAAGGGGCATAGAGATGACATCAGATCTTTCAATGGACCACTAGGCATGAACTGGAACCAGCTCTCACAATTTTCTCATCTTATAGGCGTGTGAAACCTCATTTTGGACTAGGTTTTGACTAGCCAATAGTCTTTGACAAGCCTGCTGTATAACTCTGCAGGAAAAGAACACAAATTGTGGAAATAGTGATAACAACACAAACAATTCTCTCTAACAAGGCAAATAAATTTGTATTCAGTAGCACACTCAAATCTTTATAAGGCAAATTTTCCTTTGAATCAATTCTAACATCTTATTGGTTTCCTCATTCAACGAGTTAAATAAAATCATTGGCACATGCTCATTTTATATACATAAGACAGTCATGACTGTAGTGCTGGAGAGTATCCTTTAATAACCATTTGGCTGCAAGCTCCTTGAAGGCAATGCCCATGCTATAGTAATATCTGCAACTTCAGGGTGTGCCATAGCAAAGTGGAAAATTGGTGGATTTTAGTTAAACTGACATGTAGATAAGGATGGGAAGAACCAAGTGGTAAATCGTTCTCTCCTTCCTCTTTGTGTATAGTATAGTGGGAGCTCCTGGCCTGAAGTTCAGAAGAACAGATGGGATAAAAGCCAGGCTGTGAACACTGAATATGAAACTTTGGTGGGATGTAGTACCATTATTTATGGCTAGATCTATAAAGGAGCAACAGGAGGAAAGATTCCATATTTGAACAGAGAAAATAAAAAAATAATGGAAGACATTCTAGAACACTTTTCTTTAGAAAGAAATGCAGACACACACATACACATACAATGCATGATGTGTCTATACTACTATCACTGACTTCTCGCTCTGATAATAGCTGAAAATACAGTCTCCTGCTGGTCTAAGTGGATTTTGAAATACCAAGATGGTTGAAGCAATACTGTTGCCACATTCCCAAAATTTCACTATATACCCCTGAACAAGCCTTCAAGATGGCATAAAAGTCTACACAAATGGATAATTCTCCCCTCCACTCTAACACACACAATCTCTCCAGCTATTTAGTTATCTGTAAAAATGAGAAAATAAATAAGGGGGGAAATATGAAAGTACACTGACTATTCCTGCTTCAAGGTCAAGTAATATGTTTCTAAATAAAATGGCCCACCTTGCCTCTATGAAGGTCATTGACATCTAAGGAAGTAATTCTCAAACAGGTTCCTGTGTTTCATATTTCTCTTGCCCTAAGAAGGAAGCCTGGCTTTCAGCTAATGGAACCTCCACTTGGCTCATAACATCATTGATTTTTACTTTCACAGAACCATAAATATTGACAACCTTCTCAGCAAAATGCCAGTACCACTTCCGCCCTTTCCTCCCTGTGGCAGGCTGACACTGGCCATTCCATATGCAGATAAGAGTCTAGTCCTCTAGAAATAGGAAAGCTAAACCCAGGAGGACTGTATTCTTGATGACACATCAGGGACTCTCAAGGGCACTGCCCACAAAGTTTTGTCAGAACTTCACCTGATGCAGAGAGAAATTCTTCATCACACAATGAAAGATTATTATGAAGGTGGGAAAAGTACATAAGAACTTTTAAATGCTGTTGCCAAGAGAAATCCCCAGTGAATTAGGATATAATCCTTCCTCACTGTCTAATCAATCTCTTCCTTCCACCGTCCAAAACACAAGGTTCCTCTAGGGGTGGATGGTCTGTGTTAGACACACTGAAATTCATTATCTCATCTGCCTGGTGCTGCTGTTTCCAAGAAAGTGTAATTATAGTGTTCCTGAGCTCCTTTTTACTTTCTCAAAGCCAAGCTATAAACTTTGAGTTTCTGAGCAGTTACTTCCCAGTCGGTCTTCATTAAACTGAATTGTCTCAGAACAATGTCTATTTAACCAGCAGGGTGCCCACTAATTTTCTTTTTTAGAATTGGTATTAATGTAACAGACATTGGGTGACTCTGTGCCTTAGACACTACATAAACACAACTGAGTATTTCTTCTGGCTTCAGAAGGTCAAGTAGGCAGCAAATATGGTCATGCGTTCCCAAAAGATCCTCCCCCTTCTCTCATCCCAGATGGCTGGCTTGGCTATCTCCTCTAGGACAGTGTCCTGCACTTCCACTTACAAAAGTGGGGTTATGACATATAATAGGCAAATGCAAAGTTAGTTATTGCTTCTATCATTCAATAACCTAAAGTCAGTGACACAGGGGCTTATATGCTGTTTTCTTTTCACCTAGAAAAGAGCCAGGCATATGGTAAAATGCTCAATAAAACGCTTCTTGAGTGATTGTAATGATTGCTGAACACACATCACTTCCTTATGCTTCTGGTCACGCTCAGCAACACTCCTGGTCAGAAATACACATACTTAGAGATCCAAATAGCTTAAGAAGAGAGAAAAGAATTAATATACTGAGCACCTACTATGTGTACAATTTTAGCACTAGCCTGGATATGGAAGGCCTTACACATCATAACAAAGACTTGGCTTGTATAAACTTTGCAGAATAAAGCTGATTTTCAAAAAGAAAAGTATAAGAATAAACAAATACGACATAAAATAGGGGAAAAGTATCTGCAATAAACCTAAGATAGCATAATTTCTCAGGGGAGAAAAAAAAAATCAGATCCAATTAGGTATTTTCAGATTGTATTTCCACTTCCCTTCTGACACTGATATCTTATCTAGGTCTTGACAGTATTTTATATCCACACATCAATGAAATCATCTTCTGGGAAACAGTTTCCTTGGCTCCTCCTGTCTGGCTTTGAGGCGTTATAAGGAGCACAGAGTGGATTTCCTCTCTGAGGCAGCCAATTTCCTAAGCAATTAAATGCTGTTTATATTCCAAACTCTGTGCTTCAGTTGAAATTGTCAAGCTCGATATTACCTGACTCTTGCCTAAGATGTATCCCCAGCTAGTTCATCCTACTGTAACAGCCATCTATTAAAATTTCCAATCTGTTCTTTCCTCAAGGGATCACATAGTACTTGGCTAAGATACAGTTTCTGAATTCTGCAAATTATACTCATCTATATAAATATATATTTTTGAAATGGCAAGGCTTGCAAATTACTTTACCAAACTGACATCCCAATCTGCTATCCTCTAAAATGAGAAGCAAATGCCATGGTCCTCATACGTGCATAGATACTTCTATGCTGGTTTCTTAAAAATGACATAATGTAGAAACTCAACTTCGATGAAATTCTTCTGTGAGGTCACAGAATCAAGGTGCTAGCTTTTTATCACTTCTAGGAGTGGACAAACCGAGTGCAGTTTAGGTAGATCATAATCTGATACCACATCGTACACTGGATATTAAAGAAAGTTATTTGTTCCAGCAAATATTCCTGATTGAGAATGGAGCACTATCTCATTTTGACTGTTACTTATGATTTCTAGGCTGTATGAAAAAGTGAGATGATGTCTATATCTGCAATTGTATGTGTTTTTATTAATCGTGTATGTTTTTTATTATGGATAGCCATGGCCTATGTAATTGTGTCTGTAAGATGTGCTTTCTCAGAGCAGCAGAAGATGCAACCAGAACATCAGCCAGAAGTATGGCTTGGTTACAATGGGCCATTTCAGTAGCCACTGCAGCTTGTTAGGGATTCCTAGCCCCAGCCTGGGAATGAAGGTTGGAAAAACAGACCTTTCCTTTTTTTTTAAGTGTAGCATGTCAATTTCCTATCTTCTTAAAATAGGTTTGGCAGCTTTTCACATATTTCCTTTAGTGAAAACATCCAATACACTTTACGTACTGCCTGTAATACACCAGCTATGCTCTAACACACTTGAAGGATGAATCACATCCCTCCTCTCATCAGAAATTGGTAATGGCTTCTCCATTGTGCATGGAATGAACCCAAATCCAGCAACAGCCTTCAGGGCTGCCACTCAGCCCACACTGCTGTTCCAGCTTCACCATGCTCTGTAAGTGTAACTCCTGGGCTGAGTTCCTCTCTTCCAGCCTCTGCCTGGATAGCCTTTATGCCCCTTTTCTCCTAGGGAAGAAGATCTTGTTTATCCTGCACAGTTCATATTTTGCCTCCTCTGTAAAGACTTTCTTGAAACTTCATCAATATTACACGTGCCTCTGAGTTCCCAAAGTGTGGCTGACAATCACGCCAATGGCCTTGTATTACAGTTAATTATGTGCAGACACCTACATGTGGCCAGCAACTGCGACGTATGTTCTCTCATCAAATCCTGACAGCGCCAGACCCCCAGGAGGGTCTGACCACCATTTGCCTGTAAAATGCCCAGATGTGGCTCAGCTCACTCAACGTTAGTCAATAATAGAACTGAAATCACACATGCAAGGATTTTAACTTCCAAATCTGGCCTCTTCCCAGTCATCACTGTAATTCACTGGTTACTAAGCTTTCCCAAGTCTTTATCTCCCACAGCATCAAACACAGGAGAAGGGCTCAGCAACATGACAGGAAGTGAATATGCTCTTTTATTGCTGAGCTTTCTGTGGAAGTGCCCCTCTGAGTGCACCTCTGAGGACAGGGATCCTTCTTTCATTTCTCTTCTAAGCGGCTCTACGCCCAGGCCCAGATGCCATCCTGGCTCTTTGGCCACTGGAGCTGAAGACAGTAGCCTGCTCTTGAGTTTAATGCCACTGACCCTTCTGCATCCTCACTGTAAGAGTTTTGTTGAGGGGCTGCACATACACATTCACAGAGAACAGGTGAGGGCCCTGGAAAGGGCCAGGGCTCTGTCCCAAACAGGATGATAAAGCCAGGTGCCTGCAGCTTCCAGGAAACCAGCAGGTGCAAGGGGCAGGAAAGACAAGAGATCCTGCACTTGGGGAATCACTGAATTTCTCTTTCAGTGGGTAGTGGCTAAGCAAGGAAGAAGAAATGCCTCAGTGGGTGGAATCATACCTTTGAGCTTTTCAGCCAGCAGGGCAGCTTCATGCTCCGAGTAGTGCATGATGGCTGGCGGGGAGGGGGGCCGCAGCCGGTCCTCCTCCAGCTTGCGCCGGTGCCGCTCCTCACGGGCGCGCATCCTTTGCTTGCACTCCCACTCGTAGAAGTCGTCCCTGGCCTGGGCAAAGTCCACATGAAGGCGACCAGAATCCTTTTTGTCTGTACTGGACCCTAATCGCATCCTGTAACCTGAAACCAATGGAACGTCTGGTCAATGGAAAGTCTGGTCACACATTTTGGCCCAGGCTCTCAGTGCACAGTAGGCAAGCACTCATTACTTTGTCCTCATTAGGGACACCTTGTTATCTTTCTCTGGGCCTGGGGATAGGGCTGCTTAGAAGAGCAAGGAAAGCTCTGCAAAGTTAAGCCACTAAGGTTGATGGTTAAAGACCCCTGGGGAAGTGTCTCAGCAGGTACTTTACCCATCTTCCAAACCAATGTCTCCAACAGAGGATGATCTCAACAATCAGAGATGTGTCATGATAATTCCTTCTTCCCTCTGGCTTCCAGGAAGCTCATAAACAGACATGGCATGTGTATTTTTATTTTCCTTACCTCTCCATGGCCTTGATTTTGTATTTTCAATTTACTGTAACTCTATTGCTTAGGTGGGATATGAGTAAATAAAGACCATCTATGATATTTATAAAGATCTACAAAGTAAATTCCAGAACACCTCACTCACAGGCTATTGCTTAATTTCCCCACAAAGTGCTGCTGCTCAATTCTCTCTCAGCAGCTGCAAAAGCCACAATTACAAGGCAATTTTGCAATGCTGTTTTATTTCCACGTATCCTCTGGGGCACGCAGGAGAATATTTTACCTTCAATCAGGAGGCCTCACTGTTTGCCTTCCTCATAGCCTTGCAGCACCTCATCTGGTATGCAGCACCTCACAAATTGTTCACAAAATCTTTGAAGCCTACAGGAGCCCTGTGCAAGAGCCCACAGCTAGACAAAAGAAAAGAAATGGGCCTGGAAATCTTTAGGGAATTTATTGTGAGCTACCCAACTTATAAAGATTATGAGGAGAAACTTGATCTGAGAAATCAACATGAACAGAACTGAAACTAGCTACTAGCTAGCCAGCCTAACTTCAAATGAAGAAGAGTTGACTTTGAGGTTGCTCTTCATTTTGGGGTACTCAGATTTTCAGAACATAAATTCAGGTCCCAGCAGGAACATGGCTGCTGGGGGCTGCCAGAAGAGAAAGCAAAATAAGCACTTAAGCAGTGCAGGGGTTTTTGCAAATGAGATGCAGCTGGAAATACTAGGCTGCTCTGTGCTGATGTTCAACATCTCATGGTAGATTTCAATGGGTAATTTCAGCATTTGGGGTTAAAACTCAGCTGAAAATCCCCTTAGAGGCTGGTGTCCCCCCAGGAGGCCACTTCATGTCTTGGAGAAGTTACAAATAAGATAAAGATCTCACATCTGATTCCTGTGATCCCACTGAACCGTCTCTCTTCTAGAGTTTCAACTGTGTTATCTAAAATGGGAAGACATAATACCAATCAAAACTGAAAACTTCTCATCACAGATGTGCAGAATTAACGCCAAAGCAAAATGTATCTTGGTTGTGGGCCATGGAAACTTAACAAGTCAGCAGGCCATAGTGATACGTCCGTAACAGCTGAGCAGGCAGGACTATCTGAGATCGGCCAGCTGTCTCAACTCACAGAGCAACCTTCCTCTGTTCACGTCCAGAGAGTAACTTTTAAAACATTTCTGGCTCCAGAAACACCCTCACTTTCACTGAAACATCATCATTAAGGCCTTAAAAGAGACCCTGATGAGGCTGAGTCTAAAATTAGCTTGCCCTTCAAATGTGAATGCGGCCCTAAAATTAGACAGGCCCTCCAGCTGGGCTGGGCTTGCTGAAGCCTGCACACAGAGGGGGCAGCTTTACTTCCTTCCTGTCCTTCCAATTAATCAGCCTTTCACAGCTTCCCAGGACAGACTCAGCAGCTCCACAGGGCTACAAGGTGCCAGGAGGCTCCTCTGCACGCAGGGAAGGAGGCTAGAGGTGGGCCCTGTGGTCTTCTTCTGCCACAAAGGGTAGAACAACGAGGAACACAGGGCTTGGTGCGAGAAACAGGACCTGCATTAAGGCTGGTAAAAGTACAGACTTGAGGCATAAACCAGGGAACATCTTTTGTATCCTTCAGGTTGGGACTGTTCATCTTCGTCAGGGTTTTAAGGGCCTTCTGGCTGGTTTTAAATGTTGTATTAGTGTTGAAAAGACCTTTGATCTACTCTTACCCTCTGTGTAAGCAGGTGGGGTAAACTAATACAGTTGCCCCTTGAACAACATGGGTTTCAGCTGTACGGATCCGCTTATTTAGGCAGATTTTTGTCCAACTGAATGTGGAGTATTCAAGGGACTTGACACCCACATAGGCGAAAGGCCAACGTCTAATCTACACAGGTTCTTTGGGGTGACTGTGGGAGTTCAGTATGTGTGGATTTTGGAATCAAAGGATCTTGGAACCAACCCCTGAGTATACCAAGAGATGAGTGTTTTATTGGCACAGCCATAATTAGCACCCAGGTCTTGGGATAGAGTTCCTGAGAAAGAAGCAGTCCTTCTTTATCACCACTGGGATTTACGCTAAAACAACAATCTTCTGAATGACTTCTGTGTTGCAGGGGCCCTGCTAAGCACTTACTATCCACTGTTTGGTTTATTCCTCCTCACACTCCTAGGACGCAGTACTGTTACTATCTCTATTTTGCAGATAAGGAAACAAAAGCTAACCTCAGAGAGGTTATCACGGCCAAGGCGCCTGAAACCCAGTGTCATGGACAGAATAGAACCCCGCATGCGTGACAGTTGTTAGTGTTGTCAAATGTCTTTATTCTGTGCTTTCCATCTCCATTTTGAAATGCTCAGATTTGTTTTTCCACTAGGTAAGGTTTTATTGGAATAGGTTGTGAAGTTTTCCATATTACCATCTAGCTCAGGAAGTCTCTGCAGGATTGGAATAACTTTCAGTCTTCTGGGGTTGGCACAGAATTTCATGGCAAGAGAGGTTAACTACAGAAATTAAACCTGGGATTAATGTTCAGATTTTTTTTTCTTCTACTGGTTTCCCACCTTCCTCCATAGTTTTGGAATGGGGAAGTGAAATGCAGACTGACAGACTGAAAAATGTACCTGGAGAGTGTGACAGAATGGCAATGAGTTGAATCTAAAAATGTGTTCTTGTAAAGCCATCCCATAATCCTTAGATTTGGCAAAAGCTTTGTGGAGAGACTCCATTCCCTTGGTCCAACACCCGCAGAATGGAAGGTAGCCTTAGGCTTAATTTCAACATCTGTAAGGGCAAGCTAATTTTAGACTTACCCTAATTTTAATATCTGTGAAACTTGCCTATAGAAACTGGCACCAAAGAACAAAGCTTACTGAACTAGGCATTATGATATTGAGCCTTATATCCTACAGCCCATGAACTTCTTTTCTGCAAGGAACTGGTCTTGCTTTGATACCCTGGTGTCTAGAAAGTGAATCCACTTCCAAAAAACTGAAATTATGCTGAGAGAGTACTTTACTCCCCTAGAGGATTACATCCAATAATAATAATGGCCCTTATTACTCATAACATTGCTTTTCATCTAATAAGCACTTGAGAACATTAATTAGAAACTTGATGGAATTCCTAAAGACTGGATGGTGGGAAATTGCTCCTGCAGCGAGGTACAATTCACAGACTTAACAGAGCTTCTGGCAGCCAAGAGAAAAGGCAGAATTCCTTCTTTTCCAGCCCCAAACTATGAGGACTTCACTGTGCATTAAGGCAAAAAGGAATAAGCTTATATTAATATCACAAAACATAGCAAAATGTATAAAACTCCTGATATAATGAAAAGTACCAGAAAGGTAAATGGCTTTATCAACCATGAATTCCTCTGCAAAACGAATGTGACAAAAATTCTTCTTGCTTTTCCGAATCGCTGTAATATCACCGCACTGCTCAAAGACTTCTTGAATAATTTCCTCAGTAGCATTTTCCGGTAATCCTCCGACAAACACAGTCTTACAGCCAGGAGGTCGTTCTCTTGTGGAAGGAGGTGGCAGATCTAATAATCACAACAAAACAGAGTTTTGTCTCTTATTTATTTGCTCTCTTTTTCAGCGTCTCCCAGCAAAAGTAAAGCTTGCAGAGTAACTCTGTCCGGACTGAGTAATGGTGCATTTCTATACCAACTCCCATTTGTCCCCGGCTGTCCTGTTTCTACGTTCTTCTCCCCTGCTCCTCCCAACCTTTACTTCGTGTGTTCATTTCTACACAGAGTGGCTATGCTTGTCCATGAACAAAGATAAAGCAAATGTTAGCATAATTTCATTTCTCCTTTATAATACAGAAACCAAGAAAATGGAGGGGAAAAAAAACTTCACAAAGTCCGAAACATGATGAAATGACAACATGATGAAGAACCTCGGCTTGTTATCTGCTTTGTCTTGTTGCCAGATAAAGGAGCAAGAAAGCAGAACATGGGAAGCATAGCCTAAAAAAGCACGTACGGTACTTACTTGGCTGTGAAACGCCGTGCCTGACAAAACGCTTTGTTATTATTCACATTTAAATGAGCAAACTGTGAAATTTCGGGGAGGATGTATAAAAAGATAAAATGTACACTGTCACAACATTTTTACCTAGTTTATATGTAGATTACTAAAGCAATCGCCTGAAAAGTCCATTTTAAAAAGGCAACACTGATTAATATGAATAAAAAAAATCATAGCTATTTAAGCCATAAAGTTAGTATCTGAGGCTAAATTAAAAAAAAAAAAAAATCTGGCCCTTTTTCTTCATCGAATGTAGGTTTTCCTTCGAGAAAATTCAATTTGGTCCAGAAACTCTGAGATGCAAAGTTTCCCCCTAGCCCCCACACTGCTAACTGCCAAATTAATTCAATTTTCCATCTAGCGAAAACACATTTCAGAGTTGTTCTCCCACAGTTGTGAAGATGGATGGAAGTGCTCACGTATTTTGCACTATGTTCTCCGGCAAATGCTAGACTTCACTGCATGCAGGAAGGTTCCTACCACTGGATAAATATCCCCAAACTCCATGTACTGGCTTTATAGTGTCGATTCAGCTTCTGGACAGACACACGGTGACACCCCCACGTATTTGTTTTAATCTAGAGACAAAGGCCTTCTGTGGAACAAAGCCCCACACTGTGCATGTACCAGTGAGTCACATCTGGAAATGAATGCAATGCTACTTAAAATTTAAAAGAAAGAAATGTAAAACAATGAGCAAATATTTCTCACAGGTGTTACTTACTTGGGTTTTGAGGAAAAAGAGTACAACTTTTGCAGTGGATTATTTCTTTGACGACAGCCACTTCTGTTGGTGGTGGGGGTGGTACTAGCCCCAGGCCTGGTATCATGGGGTTAATGGGGGTGATTCCAGTCATCATGTTGAGGCTCGGATCAAAACCTGGGACACAGATTGAGTCTGTAAAGTACACAAGATAACGTCTTGACTACAGAATCTTAAATCTCTTAAATCCACTTTTTGTTGTTGTCGTTGTTGCCATTTTCCTGCAAAGATTATTTGACTTTATACTTTGTGTTTTTTCAGGAATTCTTCCTGGCATAAGATGTAACATTATCTAAAGCTATTCCAGAAGGGCAAAAAGAAAAAGCAGAAAAGATGAACCTAAAACTACATGAAAAGGAAATTACACTACTTAAAATATTAACATGACAGAACAAACATAGCATATTAAAGTGTAAAACCATTCAACATGAAGTTCTGCTTTACCATGGAGGCAATTTTCTGTTTCTTCATGTTGCTGTATTGTTTAAACACCTTACGACCCACAATGTGGGAAGAATATCATTTAACATAGAAGTGCCCTGTGAATCTAATTGTCAACCTGGTTTTATCAAAAGAGCCTTCTTACCCAAGTGACCTAGATTTAGAAAAGTTCAATTTATTTGTGCATATTTTATAATAATGCGTTCAGGTCCCACCTAACCTATTTCCCCCAGCAAGAAAAAAAGTGATTATAATTACTATGGATAGGTTCAATACATGCAGGCGTAAAATTAGCTATATACATTTCTGGATTCTATTGGACAATCACAATTTCTTCCTATAATTCAATCAATAATTAGTCCATTCTTCTGAAATCTCTATGCCTTGTATTAAAGCAAAACAAAACAAAACTTGATAATAGGAAGGGGGCAAAAGGGTGGCCACAGTGGCTCATGCCTATAATCCTAGCACTCTGGGAGGCCCAGGTGGATGGATTGCCTGAGCTCAGGAGTTTGAGACCTGAGAAAAAGCAAGACCCAGCCTCTACTAAAAATAGAAAAACTAGCCAGGCTTTGTGGCAGGAGCCTGCAGTCCTAGGTACTCAGGAGGCTGAAGTAAGAGGATGACTGGAGCCCAAGAGTTGGAGGTTGCTGTGAGTTACAATGCCATGGCACTCTAGTAAGGGTGACAGAGTCAGACTCTGTCTCAAAAATTAAGACCTTTCTAAGAGCAGGGGCTGGAATCCTGTATTGAGCTCCTAAGAGTAGCTACAAGAGGACCCCTCTTATGAGGGTTTTCCTGTTTACAGAAAACAGATACTCTCACTGGTGTTATAACATCCCTAGGTACACAGCAGCACAGATGCCCCCAGGAGAGGTCATGATGACCTTCCAACTACTCTGCAATCCAAGAATGACACTTTCTTCTTCCTTTTTTTTGCAGTTTTTGGCTGGGGCTGGGTTTGAACCCTCCACCTCTGGAATATGGGGCTGGCGCCCTACTCCTTGAGCCACAGGCACGGCCTGACACTTCCTTCTTATCTCTTACTTTCCTATCTTTTCTCCCTCCGCACCATAGATCATGCCCTTTCTTCGTTCCTACCGCCCTGTTGTTTTTGTTTCTCACGTACAGCCTGTGCCTGATGCCCCTGCACTGCTTCACTTTTCGCTTGTCTGTGCTGAAAGGCTGGATAAGCCCCGAGGTAGATGAAATGACACCACACCCTTTGCCATCCTCCTTATTTGCTAGTACATTAATAAACTTCTCTTCCCTTCTCCTTAAACCGCTTGCCTTCATTCTTCTGATGCGACCTTGGGGACAAGTGCTGCCTTTTAGTAACATTATAGCATTTAAAAATCTCTATGCAGAAGCTAGCCTCTACCCTTGATTCTGAGGCCATGCTGCTCTAGGGCAAAAAAATCTAGAAGTGATATGTTAACAGCTCATTAAGTACAGTGACATGATTTCTGGCTCCAAAATTACATATACCAAAACCTATGTATTCCTCTTTTATAATAATTAGGAAATAAAATGTGTTAATAAATATAAAAGAAACTTAGAGGATACAGAAGGTCTGGCAAAAACCTAACCTTCGGCTCGGCGCCTATAGCTCAACCGGCTAAGGCGCCAGCCACGTACACCTAAGGTGGCGGGTTTGAATCCCCAGCCCAGACCTGCCAAAACAACAATGACGGCTGCAACCAAAAAATAGCTGGGCATTGTGGCGGGTGCCTGTGGTCCCAGCTACTTGGGAGGCGGAGGCAGGAGACTCGCTTGAGCCCAGGAGTTGGAGGCTGTGAGCTGTAATGCCACGGCACTCTACCCAGGGGGACAGCTTGAGGCTCTGTCTCAAAAAAATAAATAAATAAAAACCTATCCTTCCTGGGAAATGATTGATAGTATTCTTCTAGCTACTTTGGATGTTTCCACTCCACCTCTGGGTTGAACAGAGTAGTTGATTCTGATTTGTTACCCCAAACGACTGTTATCCCATTTATTAGAAACTCACATGTGACGTGATAGTGGGTCAGTATGACTTCAGTAAAAGGAGGGGTATTTTAGAGCTTTTTCTTTTTTTTAAAGAACCTTAAATATGAATGCCAAATAAACATTTTCTTTCACAGTAGACACCTTGACATTCTAGGCACTTCTTCTGTAATTATGGTTCTCGGTTTCTTCATCTGGAATATGGGACTATTTGACTGGATTATCTTTTGAAGCACTGGCATTCATTCCAAGACTCCAGGATTCCACACTGATATTCTCCAAACAAAGCAATATAAAAGACGTAAAAGTTTTGAAGTGACAAAGACAAGACTCAATCTCTGGTCCTTCACTTGATCCTCATAAAATTTCACAGGTATAATTCCTATTTTACAGATAAAGAAACTGCGGGGGGTGGGGGTGTGTGTGCATAGCAGTTAAGTAAAATTTCTAACATCACAAAGCAAACAAATGATAGAGTTAGAACCTAGGGCCCAAGTCTCTGCCTCCATATGTAAGCATATAGAAATATGACTATTTCAAAGTTTCCAGTTAGAATGACCCACCCTGATTATTCACCTGATATGTGTCACTACTTTAAAAAATTTACCTTACCCTTAAAAAAAAAAAAATCAAGATTTCTCCTGCTGATCCATTTGCCAATTCTAAAGACATCCCAGCCCAGAATGATGTTCAACATCATCATCCTTAAAATAACATACTGGCCTCCAAGGTGAATATATTAGAAATAGAAAATACAGGCAATGGGAATATCGGCACGCTTGTGCTTTTATTTAATCTCCCCCGTACATAAACTTCATCTGTTTCTTTCCTGGCCTGGCCATCGCTATTATTTGCCAACACAGGATGATTTAAGGCTGAAGCCACTCAGGACTGCAAGCCCTGAAATGAGAGCCTTGTGAATCACAGTAAGCAGATGTTTCTTACAAATGAGATGAGAGCCCAGCGTTTGCATTCTCTTTTGGTTGTAACAGACGTCTGCTTTCTTTCTGAGTGATAAATAAATAAAGATACCTTCAGAAATGGAAACAAAAGACACCATATACAGCAAGAGTTCCTTTGCTTTTTCTCTGACATCAATATGAAGAGACTATGAGGTTTAATGAAATCTGCATGGTGAGTGCAGTGGCTCGAGAAGAGCTTAGGAAGGAATTAACACTTAAATTATGCTGGACCTCAAAGGAGCTGAGATTCAATATTTGAGAGGAGAAAGTAAGGAAGGATTAGACTAAAGAAAAAAAAGAACCATTACTTTCTAACAATATATGTACAGATGGAAATTGTTTTCTCAAACTGCACAGGAACATATTACGTACTAACTCATTAAAGCAAGTACACAAACTGAAAACCTGAGAACGACATACACGCTGCAAGACAAAGGTGGGAAGGGAGCATACACTCCAAGGGTCAGTTCCCTGTCCTGTTTGGAAAAGCTGCCCCTATGAACTTCGGTGATAATGAGTTATAAATTCTACACAGGGAACGAGGAGGACGGCTTAAATCACAGCAAGGAAAAAATCCAATTAAGCATATAGTAGAATTTTCTTTTAGAAACTGTACTTAAACGAAAGGAAGGGTGATTCATCTCAGGCTGTGTCCCTGTCTGGCTCCGCTCTGTATTGCTGGCTCCAAGCAGAGAGGGGCTGCAGCCAAAGCTCGGCAAAGGTTTCTTTTGGTTGTCTGTTTCCCATTGGACAAGACAAAAACAAAAAGAGAAATCCTGTTTACTGATTCATAGTCCAGGGTTCATCCATTTGATGAGTATTTTCCAGAAGGCAGTTTTGTGCTTAGGATTTTAGAGGCATAGCAGTTGAATTAATTAATTAACTAAATCATTCATTCACCATTTCCTGGGCACATACTATTGCCAGGATCTGGAGGTACAGGTAATTGTAAGAAATCCCCCCCTCCACCCCTTGGATATGAGGAGAGAATAAAGGACGGACACGGAACTCAGCAGAAGAGTCAGATATGTGAGCTGAGGCTCATGCGGCACAAAGGGAGGGAACTGCCCACTGGGAGAGAGCCTGACAGGCCTCGGGAGTTCCAAGTAATTTTCCATGGCTCTCCCATGGTGTGCCAATGGCATTGTAGACATGATGTACAGAGAGGCTGCAGGAGTTAAATCAGAACAGAAGGGATCATGCTGCTCAGGCTACTGAGTTTGGACTGGATTTTCACTGGAATGTCAGCCCCTCCAGGTCAGAGGTGTACCTGCTGGGCAGAACCCCAAGCTCTGCCCTTGTCCCAGCTCTTTGCTTTGCTCTTCCGAGCTGTGACTTGCCCCTTTCCTTCTCTTTCTGTTAATGCTGCAGGAAAAGAGCCTCATATTTCAGGTGGGAACCAGATCCTATTTGAAAGAAAGGCAATAGGGACCTCTTGCTAGGCAAGGCCAGATATAATAACTAGATTAGGTGTGGGCAGAGAAGCTGGGCTGGGACTGTGGCTGAGAGGGCAGAGAGAAGATGTCAGTGCCAGGAAAAGGAATCAGGTACACCAAGGCGTACCAAGAGAATGAGAAAAGGAAGAGCAATTAGGCCAAACGGTAGCATTGCAGGTCTAGTCCTGGGCTCAGGGTGTCCTCATAGTGGCTGAACACAGACATCATTAGTAGCCCACAAAATACAGGTCCAGGATGGGAAAGCTCTGTCTGCAGCTCACAGGGTCTGCTCCAACCTGGTTCAGGGCTC